TTACTTAAGAATGTTTAACATATTAAAACGTTAATAATTTTATAATTTATAAGGGTACTTTAAGGGCTAGTAATTCGATTTTAATATTATAATAAAAAAAATAAAAGATATAAAACAACTAAAAAAGATAACTTAGAGCTATTAAAAAGGGCAGAAAATAAGAAGTAGTTTTTAATTATTTGAAAAGTAATTAATTTATTATAATAATATTATTAATATTTTAAGTTTAGTTAATATTAATAACTATGGCTAGTTATAATTAGTTATAAAGTTTATTATATAATAAAAACTTAATATTAACTTTAATAAGATTAGTTTATTTATAAAAGCCAAGTCAGCCCTTAATGAGGCGGGCTGGACCTTAAAGGGTTAATACGTAATATATAGTATTACCCTAGTAAATTACTCTATTAGGGGGTTATAATTAGTTATAAAGTTTATTGTTTAGTAATATACAATATTTATTTTAATAAATTAGTTTATTTGAAAGGGCGAGAATAGCCCTTAATAAGGCGCGCTAGACCCTTAGAGTTATAGTAATATTATATAAATAATATTAAAAATTACTTAAGTAATTAATAAAAATATAATAACCAAATAAATAAATAATATTAAAAAGTACTTAAATAATTAATAAAAGTAAAATAACCAAAATAAATATCTAATACTATATACTTTATTAAAATAATAAGAATATTTATTAATATTATATATTAGTATTATATTTATTCTAATATTCTACTTTTACTAGCTACTTGGGCAGTTCTTAATATTATTTATATAGTATTACTATATAGTATTAGTAGTTTATTAAGATAGTAGAAGTATTTACTAATATTATATGTTAATATTATATAAACAATATTAATAATTGCCCGAGTAGCTAGCAAAGGCAGAATATAAAAATAAATATAATATTAATAAATACTCCTACTATCTTAGTAAACTTATTAATGCTATATATATAATATTAAGAACTACGTAAGTAACTAATAATAATAAAATACTAAAATAAATACTCAATATTATTATTCATTAAACCGTAGTTATAATCTTTATTAAAAAATTTAAAATTCTTTTTCTAGATTCTTAAAACAATAAAAATAAGTATTAATACTACTCCATAGATATAAACTTTATAAAAAGGAAAGTTCAGATTTTTTTTTAAAAAAAATAGTTTATCAAAATAATAAGAGTATTTACTACTACTATATATTAATATTATATAAACGATATTCAGAATTGCTTGAGTATTTAGCAGAGACAAAATTGAAAAAAAAAAAAAACAAATATCAATACTATATATATATATATAAGGGACCGCCCGAGCGATTAGCAAAGGTAGAAACAAAGAACAAATAAGTAATACTAGGCATGTGACTTATTCTATGCTATTTATTACTACCTATACTGCCTGGCTTTGTAAAACCTTTTGTCTTAATACTATTATTTGCACACGACTGGTTAGTATATTCCAAACCCTGCCCAGTGCCCAGCTTTGAACTCCAGGAACATGTGAAACTTACCATCCTCAACACTTCGCACATTCAGCGTTTTCCGCTGTACAATCACCTCGAGGTCCTGAATATTGTTCATCAAATTCTGAACCTTGGCCTCGTAAAATCGCTCGGCAGACTGGGTATCCTGCGCAGGGGTTAGCACACAAATTGGCCAGACCCTGAGGCTTGATGAACATGCCTTCTCAACGTAGAAACCTGTACCCACGTCGACAATGACGTGCTCTGGATCCGAAAGCTCCCCACGTACGTAGAGGGAGTTGGTTAACGGCACCAGGACAGACTTGTCGCCTGGAGAAATGGTGAGTTCGCTGGCCATTCATGAGACGGGAAAGCAGGGGGCCCGCATACCATCCCCAGCACCAGGTCTGGCCTTGACACACCGGAGACACTCCTTGAACCTGGACTGCGCGCTGTGTAGCTGGGCGAACGAGTTTGTCAAGTGCTCAAGTTCTTCTTCCAACTGCTTCTTGACCTGACTGAGTTGCTGGGTGTCCAGCGTCTCCAGATTGACTATGGAGCCGAGTCAGCACGAGAATCGAAGACGCATACCCAGTCTCGATGACGAGATGGCCGGATCTCAACCGAAAATACTTACTGCTCTCAGAACCCTGAGCGGCCATGGTTGATTGAGCCGGCTTGCGGGCGAATAAAGTCGTCAGGATAGATGATCGAAGTCAGTCTGAATCCCTGCTTAGTACTAAACCCTACGCTATGATGAAAGCGTACGTCGAACAAAAGGCAAAAAGGCAAACGGCGGATTGCTGAAGCGATTGAAATTGGGTGTTGAGTCAAACTCTCTGAAAGCTGAGTGAGGATTGAAGCAAGGCCTGGTCACTTGGTTTTCGTCCATTGACACCACTCTTTCCCATATTATTGACACCCGCTGCCGCACTCCTTGGGCGGTGGCTATACACGTGACCGCCCCACACCTGCAGCACACGCCTGGGCAGGCCGCCATCGTATGTCATCCACCTAACGTCGAGTTTGGTATGATGGGTAGAAAGGAAGAGAGTGCTTAGGTCTCTGATGCTTCGACGGCAATGGACACACACGACTTCTAGTCGTGACATCAACATGAGCTACTCTAGGATTTTTCTTATCTTTACAATGGTAGTACATCTGATTTGGAGATACATGGCTGCCTTGTACACACCGCGTTATGGGCGTCTCAGCGATGCCCTAGCGGTCTTCATTATGCTCAGAGTTGTTCGAGCAACTCTGCTACACGCTGTCGTAGCTCTCCTAGCGGGACCATTTCTTTGATTCCAAGTCTGCGGCACTGGACCTCACATTCGCCCGTCTCCTTCCATACTTTACCCAGTATGACTAGGACTGGGTAACCTACCAAGTCTGCATCGTTTAGCTTCCAACCGAAGGATGCCGACCTGTCATCTAACACCGTGTCAATGCCCCCTGTGGCAATCTCATCATACACTTGGCTAGCATCTTCAGCTAGATTAGGAGTAGAAATCACCACGACTTCGTAAGGAGCAATCACGCGCGGCCATTGTAGGCCCCTTATGTCTGTGAGATGCTCAGCTACAGCCCCTATGAGCCGGGAGACACCAATTCCATGGCACCCCATCTGCATAGGCGTCTTATGCTCAGTAAGAGCTGGGCCATCGCGCTGACTTGATTTTGCACGAGTTGGTATAGATACTGTTGCTTCGAGTGGCTCAGAGTATCGCGTTCCTAGGTAGAACGTGTGCCCAAGCTCTAGCGCCTTCTGCAGCTGGAGAACGCCACTATCGCAGCAAGGACACCTGTCACCGTCGCGAGCGGCGAGCAGGTTGATTGATTGTCCACCCTGGGTTTTGGTAATGATGGTCGAGTCTACTCTATCCTCGGGAGCATCCAAGCCCGACAAAGGCGATGATTTGCCTTGTTCTTGTAGAACCTTGTCAAGGTTACTGGTTAATGTGGAGTGTATGATGTTGATGATCTGGGGCCGGGTGGCCGCAGTATTCGTGCTGGAGCTCGTTGATGTAATAGCCGTCCGCCACAGTGATACGGCATTCTCAGTGCTTGCGTCCAGATCAGCGACAATCGTCTTGATAGCCGAAATTCTGATTTCGTTCTCTCGGCCAGATCCATCCTGGGTTCTGCCTGGATACCAGGCATTCACCAAGGTCTTGCGGTCTTTACTGATCCCTCGCCAAACCCGTATTGAAGTAGATGCAGGGCTCGAGGCTTCAGTCAAACCGCACAATTGTGTGCTGTCGGCGGTGACTGCCCTTGCCTCGGCGACCTCGGCGTTAGCAGCGTAATTACAAGTGTCGCAGGTGACCAGAGTGTCCTCCCCAATCGAGGTAGGTAAGTGATACTCATGGCTCAGATCGCCTCCCATGTCGCCGGAGCTGGCTTTGGCAACTGTCACCGGCAGCTTCAATGCTTTGAAAACGCCAGTGTATGCCGATTGGACCTTCTGATAGGTCTCCAACGCCGAATCCGTAGAGACGTCAAAAGTATAGAGGTCCTTCATGGTGAACTCGCGGGTTCTCAGCAGTCCGTGGCGCGGGCGCAGCTCGTCACGAAATTTGCGCGCTAATGATTCCAGCGTAAGTTATTGGCTGCTGACGAGGCTTATGAAGTTGTTGGGCTCACTGATTTGGTAGAGGCGGAGGGGCAATTCTTTGTAGGACTTGACAGTCTTCGCCACTAGAGCAGTAATCTCTTCTTCGTGGGTGGGCGACAACATGTATTTGGACCCTTTGCGGTCCTCGAAGCCGAAGAGCTTTGTAAGTTAGCCGTGGTACTAGGTCTTTTGAGATAGCATGAACAGACCTCAGCCTCTAGTTGTGTGAGACGGCCACTCCTCTGCCAGAGGTCCTTGGACGTAATGGTTGACAGAGCTACTCTCGAGGCTCCTGTGGCAGACGTCAGCAAATGGTAGGGACCTACAGCCGACGTGTACGAGAAACTAACCAAGTTCTTGCATGTAGTAATCTATGACACCCTCGAGCTTACGTTGGACACGCTGGCCAAGAGGAAGTAGATGGAAAATGCCAGAGTGTGACTGAAATATGGGCAATGAGCAAAATCTCCTATCTCACTGCCCCTTCACCGAATAACCTACCTGTCGCAAGAATCCAGCGCGAACAAGTTTTTCATACGCGCCTGAAGTTTCGAAGTGAGCATGCTGACAATCGAAATGTACAGCATATGATAGACCTACCTTCGCCTCGTTCAGGTGTCATTCCTCCGGTAGGGACCCAAACAGTTGAAAGTCGATTCCTGGCGCTACCAGCGCGGTAGCTGCGGCTGAATGACTGGTGACATGTAAGCAATTTTATATGAGTTTATTGGTCTATGGTATATGTGTACCTACCTGGCTACTGCCATTGAACGGTAAGTTGCCATAGCTTGCCTTAGTGCTATGAGACGTCGACAAGAGAGGGAGTCTGCATATTCGACCGAAGGACATGTTGGCGTCAAAAGTAAGTACACCAGCTGATGAGGTAACTCTGGAACACGTTCGCTGACCAAAAGTCGCAAGTGAAGTGCTGGTTCAGTAGCGATGACCAATATCTTCACCTTGAAAGCATCCACCAAGATGGGATGACGGTGGTGACTGGTCAATCGTTCAACGGACTGGCCGCTTGGGAACTTGTCAATCGGAAATCAGCAAATGGCACAGGCCGACGATGGACAATTAATTGGTGGAACTGGCGCGAAGGCAAGGTCCAATCTCGTTAGGGTCACAAGGGTTCGTGAGGCCAGGTGAGGGAGGCTCCGTCAAATTTTGTTTGACTACAATGTCGGACTGCTTCCATGGATGAGAGGGCTGTCAGCGACAATTGGGCTTACCTAGGTAGGAGGGGTCGGATGGATATGCGACCCGAATTTACAGCTTTAGTACTTTACTCCGAGTTCCCTTGAATATTCCAAATTGGAGATAGGTGATATTCAATCGGGTTCACCGTTCCATTTAAGGTATGTAGGTAGACCAGCAGGCTCGAACACAACCTCGACCATCTCACCCTGCCATCCCTGCTTATCGATAAGGAACACGACCCCACACCTGGCGCTCAATTGCCTTTTTTTTTTTCCCTCTTCTTTTGCGACGACCTTTCCTCTCTGCGTTGCACGTTCTGCTTCTTGTACATTTTGGCGCAATACAGAGAATTTCTTTGACCTTCACACGGTTCATTATTCTGTTCTCCAATCACTTGTTCATGACCGTCCCTAATTCTCTGGCTACAATCGCAATCAGAAATACATGATGGGGAAGCCAAAGAGGCAATCTGCCGGCAAGGCTCGGGAGCCAGAGTCCTTGAATCCGCAGTCATTTTCGAATTTCACAGCCAAGATCGAGGGAAAACTAGGCAAATCCGTCAAAGACAACTCAACCGACAACAAGAAGCGCAAACATAACTCGGACGAGCCATTGGAGAGCTCGCACCAACGGAAAAGACACGCCCATCGTCGCGACAAATCCACGAGCGGGCGCGACGGCATTAAGACTGAGGTGAAGGGCAAGAAAGGCGCGCCCCTCAACCGCGAGGATCTTCTAGAGGAGATCAGGGCCTTGGGAGGAGACGAAGAGGACCTGAAGCTCATTGGAGACATCGATTCGGACGACGAGGATGCCACCGGGGAAGCCAACTCCAGCGCTACTGTTGATGGAAAGCTTCAGAATGAGCTTGCTGCTTTCGCAGCCCAGCTCGGCCTCCAACAACATCATGAAGCAGCAACAGCTCAGGATGTAGAAGAACACCCGGAGGAGGAGGAGACAGAGGAGGAAGAAGCGAGCGAGGTAGACGAAGTTGCTGAAGGCTATGCCCAGTCCGCTCAGGAAGACACAGAGACCGAGGTCCATGCACCGCAACAATCTCCCCGTAAGGATGTCAAAGATACGGTCAAGAAGCAGTTCGTGAGCAGCCACCTGACCCAAGTTATTCTCAAATTCATGCATATACTGACCTATGCCCGCCAGAAATTCGAACCTCGCGCTGATTGGCACGGGGCGGAACTAGGCCAGCTCTCAGACCCTACATCTCCCGAAGTGAATGGTTTCCTTGGCGCCATCAATGCTCTCAAAGCTCATGCAGTCACTCTTCTGGAGGCAGACGCGGCAGCGTACAATAAGAGCGTTTTGGCATCATCTTCTCGAAAGTTCCTCTCCACCATCATGTCTTCCGGAACGCTCTCGGACAAAGTCTCTGCTCTCACCTTGGCAATTCAAGAGTCACCGCTTCACAATGTCAAGGCTTTTGAGTCACTCCTAGGCCTTGCGTCCAAAAGGAGTCGTGCTCAGGCTATTGGTGCTCTTGGTGCTCTGGTTGATCTCCTTGGTCCAGGTCTAGTTCTACCCCCTAATAGGAGACTGCGCGCCTTTCAAACTCAACCTGGTCTCATTGGAGCTCTGCAGCGATCCTCTGTCAAGAATTGGAACTCCAGCCAAGCCTTACCGGGTCGCTTAACGGATGCACACCTCATCCAGTGGGCTTACGAGGACTGGCTCAAGACATCGTACTTCAAGATCATTCAGCTCCTCGAGGTCTGGTGCAATGATGAGATTGAATACTCTCGCACCCGTTCCATCGACTTTGTCTATGGCCTGCTTAAGGACAAGCCCGAACAAGAGACCAATTTGCTTAGGCTGTTGGTTAACAAGATGGGCGACAAGGACCGGAAGATTGCATCGAGAGTTTCGTACCTTCTTCTCCAGCTTCAGAACACCCACCCCGGAATGAAGCAAGTTGTCATTAAGGGCATAGAGCAGGAAGTTTTACTCCGACCAGGCCAAACCTTCAGGGCCAAGTACCACGCCACGAACACTTTGAATCAGACAATACTGAGCAACCGCGAAGGTGGCACGGCAGAGGCACTACTCCGCATTTATTTTGAAATCTTTGTTACTCTTCTCAACAGTTCCGCACTTGGCAAAGCACCTGCCGAAAGCCAACAGGATCGTTCTTCCAAGGAGACTGGCGTCACAACGGAGACAGCTGATAAGCTGGTCACCGCAGTATTGACAGGTATCAACCGCGCTGTGCCGTTCGTGGCCGAGCAAGACCCCATGTGAGCAATTCTTTTCCAATGGTTTCTGGGCTCCCGAACATTGAACACAACTGACACTCGCATGCAGCCTCGAATCCCAAATGGACACTCTTTTCCGAATTGCGCACTCGACGAACTTCAACACGAGCATTCAGGCGCTGATTCTCATCCAGCAAATATCCGTGTCAAGGCACCTGGCTTCCGACAGGTTCTACAGAACGTTGTACGAATCCCTATTGGATCCGCGACTTGCCAACTCCTCTAAACAAGCTCTGTATCTGAACCTGATCCTCAAGTCTCTCAAGGCCGATGTTGACACGAGGCGGATCAAGGCCTTTGCGAAGAGAATGTTGCAGATTCTCAACTTACATCAACCTGCTTTCGTCTGTGGCTTGATATATGTGGTGTTCCAATTGAGGACTCAGTTTCCCGACCTTAGAGCACTCCTTGAAGAACCAGAGGACAACGACACAGAAGAGGCGACTGGTCAGCCCTTGGCGCAGGAACAGCATACATCTGTTTCTAGAGGAAGTGTGTACGATGGCCGCAAAAGAAACCCAGAGCATAGCAATGCTCAGAACAGCTGTCTCTGGGAAATAGTAAGCTTGTACCTGTTTTTTGGTTCACATGACGCTAGTCGCTAATGAACGCAGATACCTCCCCTCACTCACTTCCACCCGTCCGTGTCTCTACTGGCCGCAAGTCTATTCTCAAATGAGAAGCAGATGGCCAAGCCCGACCTGGAGAGCCATAGCTTGATCAGATTCCTCGATAAATTTGTGTACCGTAGCCCGAAGGCGGCAGAGACTGCTAGGGGAGCATCAATCATGCAGCCGGTCCGCAATCCTGATTCCGGCAGCATCTGGCTCGCGAAGAGAACTGGCTCAGGTGCAGCTGCGCCAATCAACACGCCCAAGTTCTGGAACAAGAAGGTAGATCAGGTCGCAGCGGAGGATATCTTCTTCCACGAATACTTCAAGCAAGCGGGCAAAAAGGTCGAGGGTGGTAAGAAGATCACTGAACAGTCGTCATCTGGACCAGATGAGGTTGCCGAGGACGACGCCGAGCAAGAGGATGAAATCTGGAAGGCCCTGACTGCCTCGCATCCCGACGGCCCAATCGAGAGTGACGACGACGACCTTGACATGGAAGGATTCGACGACAGCGATGAAGAGTCTGATGGCGGCGTCATCTTCTCTGACGGCTCCGATGCCGAACTCTTGGATGTTGACGAAGATGACGAAGACGACGAAGATGCTGGCGAGCTCTGTGGCGAGGAAGGAGACGACGACGAGGCGATGGAGGATGAGGAGAGCCCTGAGCTATCTGCAGTACCTGGAGAGGCCGAGGAAGCTAGCGAGAAGAGCAAGAGCGCTGCCCGATCATCCAGGAGGAAACTCAAGGACTTGCCTATGTTTGCGTCGGCAGATGATTATGCCGAGCTCTTGGCGGCAGAGGAGGAGGACATGTAATCGGACTAAGAAATTCGCAATAGACATCATATTGTACGTCTGGGCCAAACAAGCCCATGAGATGAAGACTTCCGACCCACTTGCTCCCGGCCCATTCCATAGGTAACTATGTGTCAAACCACTCGAGGTCGTCATCTTTAGTGAATATGGCTCTGTACGTCTTATCCCCATCCGAATGCTCAGTCTCTTCAGTATGAATGCTGTGAAGCTTTGGCGGCTCAGCTCCGGGCACGAAGGCGCGGAAGTGAATATAGGCAGGCCCCGACTCGGGTAGTGCTGGGATTCGGACCTTGCCAAATAGATGGATTCCGTAAGCCGAACTGGCAACTCTTACGGCCACAAAGTTGTCTGGGCCAAAAGCGGCCAGTTGGTGATCGTCGAGATGTTCCTAGGATCTGTCTGAGCGGCACGATGGCATGGTAGGACAAAATGGCGATTGACTTACAACGGCCTGGAAATACTCGGGCTCGTGCTCTGGTGATGGAGAATCAGCCCGTGGCTTGTTTCCAGCGGCGAATGGTACCTACTTTGATGTTCACGTCGGATGTGAAGAAGTTCTTTTTTGAGATCATGCGCTATCTCTTGGAATACCTTGATGGACTCTTCTTTAGGCGCGTGCACAGCGCCTAGATCTACGGTTTCTGCCGTGGCCTAAAATGGACGTAGACATGGCAATAGGTCAGCTGCTGTCAACAAGACAGTAGGTCGCTTGCATATCCGGCATGCAAAAAAAAAAAAACAAAAAAAAAAACATGAAAGACAATACCATCGTGTGTGTTGTTGCCGTGTCTTTTTGCCAAACTACCAGCAGCCGTTACGTGATGAGAGGTGCCAGATGGGAAGAGTATTAGATGAGATTGATTGACGGTGGATGCCAGAGCCAAACGATTCATTGCCTCGTGGACGGTGGTGTCCTATTATAGTACCAGAAAGGCAAAGGTCAGATGAGGGGTATGTATCCATCTGTACCAGGCCTCTAGGTCATTCAAGTTTTGAGGTATGCCCAGGACCCCTGGAGCCACACGGACCGATGCCGCATGAGAACTAATCACTGGGGTAATGGTCAACACCTCATCCTGCCTGTCCGGAATCTGATGGTTTTACGGAGAGAGATATGATGTCATGTGGCCGGGATCTTGTCTTGTGCATATTCAAGGACCCTATTGCGCAGAGTGTACAGGGGATCAGGCGAGGCTACGACACCAGAAGTTACTTGTACGTTATATCTGCAGCGAAAGTATGGCTCCAGGAGTCCAGAATGGAGGAGTGTGCCGTTGAAACAAGGCCTCAGACAAGTGCGAGGAGTGGAAACCGTCTATCCGTATTCGTATATCCAAGTTAAATCCCCATTGATGCATATTTTTGGCTAGGCGTTTCTTCCACAGCGTTCGCTTAATGAATTGTCGTTTAGTGACATGATGTTGAAACTACCTTAGTGCCGGGATCAAGGTACTCTACCTCACCTGAACTGTTAAGCTCCCCGGCATGTAGCCTCGGCATACGACTGGAGTGACAAACTGCGTCGAAGGTCAATCTTGACATTCTCCTATGCCTCACACATCAATCGTAAGCTTCAACCTTGTTGCTCGACTGACCGGCTATATCCATGGCAGCATCACACTTTCTTCCGCTTCGGCGACTTCTTCAGCAGCCTGCGACATTGGCCGGCTCCAACGCGCCAGTCTTGCAAACCTCCGCCCGTCGTCAGCAGGTTTGGCTCCGATGCTATCACCAAGGCGTTAATGCTGGTAAGTTACTTTGATTTTGACAGTCCCTCCAGACCTTAATCCAGGAAGCTCACACAATGTTATTGTAGGCACATCGTCGCAACCGACAAGCCCTTCCCGGTTCCGCAAAGCCATCAGCTTTGGCGCGTTTGGACTGCTGTTTACGAGTTTGGGTTTCGCTGCAGCGGCGAGTCCCCTAGTGCCTGGTCTACTTGACGCGGCAAGACCCCGTTCCGATGAAGATACCCTGCGCATCTACGTGCCCGAGAGCGACGAAGCCGCAATTGTGAATGATTTTGTCAATAACCACCCGATTGCGGCAGAGATGCGCCGGAATCCCGACATGACTGAATCTCGCCCCCACATGAGACTCCCCGATGCGCTGCGGCGGCACAATCTCACTGGGGGTACGCTTCTTGGACCTGGCCGGATCACAGTACCCCCTGTATGCTGGACTGAAAAAGGAGGCAAGTCTCTTGTATCAATCTCCCATCTTGGCACAGACATTTGTGGTCACCCTGGCATTGTTCATGGTGGGTTGCTTGCTACAATGCTGGACGAGGGTCTGGCGCGATGCTGCTTCGGTGCTCTTCCACACAAAGTGGGCGTTACGGCCAAGCTTGAGATCAATTATAGGAAGCCAGTGCATGCAGGCACGTACGTTGTTTTGCGGGCGCGCACAACGAGAGTAGAAGGGCGTAAGGCATGGGTCGAGGGCCAACTGGAAACGCTGCCAGTGGACGGAGAGGAGCCTCTTGTCCTCGCGCAAGCCTCTGCGCTTTTCATCTCTCCCAGATTTGCATCCGTGAGTGACCTCTTCTCTTACTATTTGGATCATTGAGCCACGAAACTGACAGCCCAAAAAAGGTAATGGCGAAGCTGAATGCGACTTGAGACCTTTGCAAACGCAAGACTAAGCCCGGCCTTTCGATTCTACTTTTACTGAAAAATTTAACAGTCGAATGGGACACGCTGAGGTGATTGGAGAAAAGAGACAGCACCGAATGATAAGTGGTTTGCAAGAGATCGATGCACTGAGCTGAAGGCGCATGCTCAGCCCGATCCGATTTAGACTACCCGAGCCAGTAGACCGTCAGCCCTCTTGCAGGAAGGAGTATAGGCCACGAGCCCTCCTGGATGGATTGATAGATGGCTCTCATGAGGGTGCGCGCAGAATAGCTCCCTCTCAGACTTGTAGTATATGGTGAATGCTAGGATATAGATAGCCCCGGGGCCAGGATTGAGCTGATAGATAGCTCACAAGTGAAAAATTGCGGCCGGTGAAGAGGGATAATGACCAGCAGAACACCCAGGAAATATTTCGAAATGCGCGACTTTAGTTGAGGACAGCTGTGATGTTATAATGGTGTAAGGTAGGTAGCTATGTGAAGTCCCTAAGTGAGACGGAGGAGGCTTCGGCACCGACGTGAAGCGCGGCGCGGCATCCGGGAACGGAGCGGAAGTCGGCACTCGGCCAGCCGGAGACAATACCTCAAAAAATAGGCAGGAACCAGCCAGATTGCAGGCCTCTGACGTGTTGGTCCCGCCAAGCGATGATCCACCTCTAGCCGATCTGACGCCATCGCTCGGCGCAGGTTCGCAGTGTTCCGGTAAGGAAGTACATGCATGATGTTGCGGATTCTTTTGATTTTTTTTCTTGCTCTATCCTAGGTCATTGGATCATTTCCTATGGTATCCGTTAGGTACTGAACCTAGATGTGGAAATGGCCAAAGCCAGGCAAAGTACCTCTCTTGTGAAGCCACTTTCTACTTTGCAGTGTTTGGGAGTTCTGGGTACATCGCCCAGGAGCCGACTTCTCCGTGATCTTAGCTTGTGAAGTGAAAAACAAGAGGGAAAAATGGAGGGGGAGGAGGTGGGGTGAAAAGCAACTTAGTACCCTACTCGGTCCGTTGTCGTGAGAGTCGTGTATGCGAGCGCATCTGTATGTATATGTAGGAGTGCTTGTTGCCGCTGCGCCTGATTCCATTTCACACTCTTGTTTCTTCAACACCATTCTCCTCTTTAGTCCCTACCACCAGATACCCAATTGAATTTACAATGGCTACGTAAGTATGAGTACGGAGATCTAGAGTCCCCCCCCCTAATGACGGGACCGAAATTGCCCCTCCATGAATTTCCTTCTGCTATCCCACCGACCCCGCAGTCGTCGTCGCACCTGCCTGCAGTGAATGCTCTGAAGTTCTTTACCTTCACGTACGCAGCTCGACAGTTGGCAGCATAACGAACAAATTCGCTGACATCTATCCCCCCGTTATCATAGCAACATTACATGGCACCCCTCACTCTCGCGCTCTGAGCGTAATCAGCTGCGCGGTCAGCGTGGTTTCACCCTCTGGCTCACAGGACTCTCCGCCTCTGGCAAGTCCACCGTAGCAACCGCTCTGGAACAGCACCTTTTGCACCTGGGAGTTGCAGCCTACCGTTTGGACGGCGACAATGTACGCTTCGGCCTCAACAAAGATCTTGGTTTCTCCGAGAAAGACCGCAATGAGAACATCCGTCGCATTGCTGAGGTATGGTCATTTACTTTACCTTTTAGACTCCATATTCCAACCCAAGTACGGCCGCCCTCAGAGAGTACACGACTAATGCCGCAGTAGGTTGCCAAGCTGTTTGCCGATTCTTCGACTGTTGCCATTACCTCCTTCATTTCGCCCTACCGTGCAGACCGCCAAGTAGCTCGCGAGCTGCACAGCCAGACCGGTCAGAGCAGCGACGAGGCCATTCCATTCATCGAGGTCTTTGTCGATGTGCCTCTCGAGGTCGCTGAGCAGCGTGACCCCAAAGGTCTGTATAAGAAGGCTCGAGCGGGAGAGATCAAGGATTTCACCGGCATTTCGGCCCCTTACGAAGCACCCGAGAAGCCCGAAATTGTTATCAGGACCGACGAGTCGAGCGTTGAGGAATGTGTGGCACAAATTGCCGAGTGGCTGATCAAGGAGGGTCTCATTACTGCGAGTAAAACAGCCTGATGCCTACGGTCCTAGGATTGCATGGGCAGCCGAATCTCATCACATTTGAACTAGGAGTTACCAATCGGCTATAGCCCCGAGCTTTCTAACCACGGTTTTACTGCCCCTTTAAAAATACTACGCGTTTTTAGTGCAAGGTTGCGTCTGAAGTGCGGGAGTGCATGCGCCTGCCATGCTACAATTGTGTAGTTCCACGTAACTACGAGAAGTCAAACTCGTAGTAAACGTAGGCCGTGTACTCATGTCCCTCGCCTCCGCCTAGACCAACAGCAGCCATCTCGGACGACAGTGCTGCGTCGTCTTTGGTGATTTTCCCGCGCTTGTCTCTGCCAAAGGCATTGCCTCCTAGATACGAGTAATTAGAGTCAAGCGCTGTCTTGACCTTCTTAACTAGCTTCGAATTCGTCTGTCCGCCGCGTTAGCATCGTGAGCCATGATTTGAGCGAGAGATAGGGGTGCTGACCTTAACAAGAACACTGACATAATCGAGCGGGAGTCCGTAGCGTAGAACAGCCTCGACAAACACGCGCAGTGCGAGCACATGCAGCCAGATCATGACGCTTTCGCTCCAGCCTGTCCGGCCGATTCTCAGAGCTTCTCCCCATGTCTTCTTCTCTTCACGAGCCACCCGATCAAGCTCGCGTTGCTCTTCTTCCTTTCCACCCTCCACGTACTTGTATTGACGCGGAGTCCATTTTTGCTCGCGGCACTTCGCAAGGAACTCTGCACTGTGTTTTTTGAATGACGTGGCGGCGTACAAGGTGAACTCTTCGTCCGTCGCGACCTGCACGGCAGATCGGGGGACCACCATCGGTGCCAGTGTTTCATAGCTCTTCAAGAAGTCCTTCTTTGCATTGTTCGGCACAACGATAAGATGCGTCTCTAGGTATTCCGAGTCCTGAATGAGGAGGGCGGGATCGACGACGGGAGTGAGGGACTTTGTCGCAAGGTTGCCACTGTAATACCGCTGTCAGCTATCAAGTCGGCGCTGGGGTAGGAGGAAGGGTCGGCCTTGGAAGCAATACGTACGTCTGCTTGCGCTGAAGAGTGGTGAAGTTTGTCTTGACCGAGTTATACTGGTTGAACTTGCTCTTGACATCGTTGTCGGTAGTGACAAGTTCCTGGCGCTTCGTTAGTTTCATGTGGGCCTACTCTATGGATGGCAACCCGGATCCACGTCGAAAGCGAGACAGGTAGAGTAAAGGAAAGTCCCGCCGCGATCCTGTTGGGCCCAGTACTCCCTCTCTCTCCACATACCTTTTGCAGTGTATCGACGAGTTCGCTCAAAGGTTTGTCGGCGCGGTATCGAACCTTGTTCCAGGAAAACGAGTTGACGTATTGGTCAGTGGGCTCTGAGGTGCAACCGCCGTCAGTGACATGTACAAGAGGTTTGTGGAACAGGCAGCAGCGACGAGGTGGTGCCCTAGACATTTCTCACTGTCGTTGACCATCTTCTGCTGGGAGATTTTATCCTCATCACCATCGAGGATTGACTTCAATGAGTCGGCAACCTTTGCAACAACAGCCTGGCAGGTGGACTCTAGCTTGGCAAGGTCATCGGCCTGTTGGACCAAGGCATCCAGGGTGCCGATTTTGAAATCGGGGATGTTGAAGGGGCGAACACCACCATTCTCGGCCGAAATGGTAGCGCTTAACGAGGAGATAGCATCGTCCTTATCGCCAGAGTCGAAGATGCCGAGAGGCAGGGAGACGAGGGCGTACTTGGTAGACATGCTTCTTGAACTGAATCGGACGCCGGCTAGCTGTCCATGCGGCTATGTCAGAGCCTCGGAAGGTCTAGAAAAGCAGGGTGAGGTAAGATTACGGTAGGTGAGGTCGAGAGAGCTATCGGAAGGTAGGCGGAGTTAGTTGGGCGTCGGTCGATGAGCGGTTGTCAACTTGCCTGGAGGCTGGGGTTTTGAGCAACATCCGCTAATGAGCAATGACTTTGCCAACTCCAGTAAAGAAATCGCACATGGGTAGGTAGCCAAGATGGTGACAATTGAGGGCCGGAGCGGATTGAAATGCAGCACTGCCTAGTAGTACGGAGTAGAGGAGAGAGAGGTTACCTTAGGTGCTAAGCTGAGGCCAACCTACGGGCCTGCTCCATGTACCCCCCTACCTGCGCAACGGTGAATTGCGAACGAGGTACTCGTAACTTTGCCACTGCCCAAGTACAGATTAGGTGTACGTAGGTGGAAGAGATACGAGGGTCCAGGACCAGTGAATAGGTACCTGGATTGCGGGAGATGTAGCGGGGCGCAGTACTCGGGTACCTCAAAGCTAGGTGGTGGTTCGTCACTCACTCGGCGATAGCCTGATAGGTACGGTAGCCAGCGGGTCTGCTGCCATCTAATGAGGTGGTCTACTGTACGTGGAAAGCTGCTAATAAATGCTCAAGCTTGACCTCTCCGCTCGACATTCCAATGTTGTCCAACGCTGCTCACGCCATACCTTCCAACTTCGACAGCCACTGCGCCTTTGCAGAGCGTAAGACGCGTTTAGGTATCGCCCGGAAGGTCTTGCTTCCTTCTCTATCTTCCCTTCCGGTCTTTCGCCCATCTCGAATGCGCATCGCCAGGTCTCGCTGTTGCTAATTCAATGTATAGCTCCAGACGATCGACGGTTTCTCGCTTTGTGACTGTCTAAGTCGTTCCTTCGGCCGAATTCAACAACGATGACGATCGGCTCGCTCCATTGCGATTGCAAAAAGAGAAGCTGACTCGGCAAGATATCACATGCTGTCGAGTCGCCTTGGTGGCTTATCCGGGGTTTCGTGATGCCCTCTTGCAACCGCGAGATTTAGCACACGTATTTATTGCCATCCGGACCAAGGGCCGAGCCACACTCCTCTCCGGGGGAGAAACCTCAAAAGGCACAGCTGTGCTCCAATCTTTCGTTGAGGGACGATGCTGAATTTGTGAAGCGACTGTCGTCCACAGCCATGGCTACAACCGCAGGTAAGTCTAAAGCAAAACGCGCTTGATTTTCTGCGCCCCGACTAATTGTCTTCTGCAAAGCATCTCCTCAAACTTCAAACCCTGCGCGACACCCTGCACCGCTTGCTGATGCCTCTGCCGCCACTGGCACCGGCACTGGCACCGACACTGCTATTGCCACTGGCACCGATAGTCGCACACGCAACGGTTCTGCAGCGCAAACCCCTGTACTAGGCGTTACGGGTGAAGGAGGTTTGTAGACTATTCCCATCTCTCTAATGCTACTGCTCGTTGGATGGTCAGGTAGGAACACCCAAAAGACGTTGCTGACATTCGAGCTGTAGGTGCGGCGAATGGATTCGGTGTCTTGCAACATACTGGCCCCCCAGTACAGGATGATATCCCGGGCCTTTATAGAGATGGACGTGTACGTAACCCTGTGCCTAGTAAGCTGAAGGGCAAGACCGACGCGACGAAAGGAAACTTTGGGGTCATGCACATAGACCTCACCACCACCAACGAAAGCCGGGAGCGTGATGCAGCAGCCAAACGCACGAGTGAGGGAACGCAGCTTGCGGCCAGACTGGCCCAGACAGACCGTTACATTCCCATCAGACGGAGTAAATTTATCTATCGACCAGAGGTACATGCCTCGAATAGTCCACCGCAACTTAACGCACCGCATCCCAGTGCACCGCAGCTAAACGCACCACAACTTAACAAACCGCAGCAAAACGAACCGCAACCCGATAAACCGCAACTCAATAAACCGTGGCCTCATCAACCGCAACTTAATGCACCACAACTGAACACACCGCAGCTGAATACACCGCAGCTGAATGCAACACAGCCAAACGCTCTGCAGCCAACACCACAACTCAATAAACCGTGGCCCCATGAAACGCCGCTCACTACACCGCAACGGAATGCACCCCAGCTCAACCGACCCCAGCTGAACACACCATATACTCGGGAGATCGTCGTAGAAACGGGGCAGGGGCGAAGGAGGACATCGACGATTACGACCGCGGAGGCGATAGCGGAACAGGCTCGACTCTTGACTCTGTTGCGAAGCCTGGACCCCGATCTGGTTGTTGACCAGCTTTGCAAGGGACTAAATTTTTTTGGAGTAATTGCCAACGAGCACACATCACCTGGAGGATCATTTCCCGTCAGCGCCGAGGCGAATGGGTCTGGATCTCTCTTCATTGGCTGGCTGGCAGAGATCTTTCCAGCTGTAGACCAGGGGACAATTCCGGGCGCACAGCAAACGAGCCTGAGACGGCCACGTGGTCGTCCCAAAGGAAGTAGGAATGCGAAGGGAAGACAAGCTGGCAATAGTGGGCAGCGACTGGTTTCAGGAGCTCATGAAGCAGAAACAACAACGGATAACAGTGCAGGTGATGACGCGGTGAAGAGAGCTGCGGTAGATAATAGCTGGGTTGACATCGATGACACCATTGCAGATACTGACGGAGAGAGTTTGCAAGTGGACGCCGAGCGGGTGGTTGAAACTCCAGCTTCAAGTCGGGTAGTCTCTGGCCCAAGTGCTTCCGGTGGAATGCCGGAATCTGGCTCCGCCCGGGGCCCGACAATCACGCCGGCCCCTAAGCGGAGAGGGAGACCGAAAGGCTCGAAAAACCGACCGAAAGATACGATGCTCTTGGCCAACGAGGCTCATGAAGATACGAATGGTGTATCTGAGAGCCCAGTGATAATACAGCCAATAGGACTCAATCCCCCTGAATCCTCAAGCAGGACTGGTGGTCTAGACGAGCTCGGATCGCCGCTCGTCAAGAAGCGTAAAGGAGGCCCTGGCCGTCCTAAGGGATCCAAGAATCGACCGAAAGAAACATCAAATGTGCCTGGCTCTCGATCTCAACAAACATCGCCTACATCAGCTGCAAATAACCAACGAAGTGAGCCACAATCTGCTGCAGCGGGTGATTTGGGCGTGCCGGCGCCTGCTGCTATTTCCACATCATCCATCCGAGAACAACAACACGAGCAGCGACCGGCCAACCAGCTATATGTGGCTCCTCAGTTGGCACCGGAGGCTGTCAGCGAATCCGCTGCCATGAAGCAACAAGCCAGCAAAGCCTCCAGAGTCGCAAAGCGTAAACGGAAAGCTTCTCAGGAAGGCAGAGACAGTAATGCCGGCAATGAGTTGCAGACAGCTGCCTCGGCTTCAGATCCAAACAATGCTGGTGGGTTTACTGCAATCACCAATGAGAGTCCTTTGTCACCGCAGATGGTCCGGTCTCAAGGATCACGAGTGCAGGACCTCACTCATGGCCATCAGCCAGTGACCAAGAGGCAGAAATTACCGAATCATCAGCGCGAAGATGCTGCCTCAAACAGCCGAATGACGCAAGCCAGCCAGAACAGCCAGACTGGACAACAGGGGCAGCGCGTGCCACAATCGTTAGAGCCAACGCGGCCAGACCTTCACAGCGGCAGCCTCGCAGATGCCAATAACACTAATCTTCAGAGGTCGAGGAACCAAATGGGCGGCTCTGCAAACCGATCATCGCTCCAGCAAGCCCTCAACACGCAGCAACCTCAGTCTGATATACGACTTCGATACAGCCAAAGCCTCGCACCTTCATCCGCTGGCCGAGGAGTTGAAAGGACTGAGGTAGCGGAATCCTACTCCTTGAATATGCCAGCAAGGCAAGGCATGTACAATCAAGGTGGATCGGCTCAGGGGCAACAGCAACAGCATCTCTTTCATCAGCAAGGGCAACATCAGCCAACTCCACAGAACCGACCTAATGGCAGTCAGCACCGCCTAAGCAGCTCGGGTGCCGACCAACTTCCATCAACACTAGGGCAGAATGGGGACAACTATACAGAATCTGCAAGTGAAGGAGACTATCACGGGCTAGTGGGCCTTCAGCAACCTACGTATGGCACCCACATAACCGGATCCTCGAGCATGCGAGGAGACAGCTACCGGACTTCGACTTCACGGCCGGTACAACAGCAATCTTCTACATTCCATGCACGGCAGGAACACCCAGTGCAGAATACGGGCATGTCGTCTTTCCAGGACTACTCTGATTCGGCATTTCTGGCAAGCCTGACAACGGCTAATCAAGCAAGCTTGGCAATGAATCCCACACAGTACAATGTCAACGGTGCGGAGATGCAGCGCGCATCGCCGACCATGAACTCAACGTATGGCTCGTCAAACTTGGGCCCGTCGTCTTTTGATGGCGGCATGACAGAATCTGCAATGAGAGAGCGCATGTATCATACTTCGAGACGTCAGTAGATAAAGACGTATTGGTAACGGGCGCCCATTTACTGCGCCGCTTGTAGGTACACTGTTACTGGAACCTTGCTCCGACTGGTGTCAATGGCTCAGGACAGTTGTCCTGCCCTCTACTTATGTAGTTGCGCCATGGAAGAGTCGCGCCAAATAGGCGGGTGGCCTTCTCAATTGTGATTTCGAGCGGTTGCACGCATTTTCTAGTACGGATACCCAGCCAGGTCGATGAACCTCAGCCGCCTCGGTCAAGATCGAGTACGTGATAGTCGGTCATAAGTGACAGCCCTGTGTGTGGAAAGAGCACGTTGCTCAACAAGTGAATTGTTTACTTGATTGGGCAAACGAATGCCAACCGGTTCCGGCTAACGTATAACAAGACTACAAAACTAAATGGAAAACTGTTTGATGTTGGTATCTTTATCCAGATCCCAGGTATTGCACCCCTCTCCATGCTGACCCTGACAAAAAGAATGAGGGGGTGAAAAAAGAGTAAGATATCCAAAGACAAGCTCCGCTTGAGTTCCAATGGCCAAATTCCAGGCCGACCTTAACGCCCTTAAATGCTCAACACGCCACGCTGGTTCTTATGCGCCGTCCATAGCATCTTCGTCTATCGCTTCGAGCGGAGGACGAATGGATTCTGGTGTACTTCGTCCGTACCACCACTCATCCTCCTCGTCCATGCCATCATCGCGAATTAATTCCAACATTACTTGTGCATTGCGTTTGATATCCTGGGTACGCTCAACGATGCCCCGCTCCAATATCAAAGCTTCCGCAGTTTTGAGCCAGATTTCTTGTAAGCTAGGGAGGTCAGCTAGTACGTGTCGGACATGCTCACGCTCTAGCGGTCCCATGGGCATGCCGACCGCTAGACTTGTGTTGAATACCAAATTCGTATCGGAATCGACTGGATCATCTAGAGAAGCTCGAGAGGCACGGCGCGTTGATATTCCGTCATGTTGCGTCGACTTGGTAGAATCTCTGACCGAAATCGAAGACTTCTTTCGGCCCATGCCCATAATGCCTCGTCGCTGTTTTGGGGTTGGGTCGATCGTGTCCTTCGAGACACAATTGTACCAAACGTCAACGGCTCCCCGCCTGCTGTTGTATCCCTTGATCTCCCAAAGCCTCTCCACTTGTCGCAAACCTCCGACACATAGAATGGCAACGTGGACCTCATCTGGGGGTCTTTCCTTCAAGTAGCCTCTCAATGATCGTTCAACGCGGCCAGCATAAGATGGCGGGCGTAGCCGTCGGCAGAATGACGATATGACCAGAGGAAAGACTTGATGAACTCGCAAAAGTGTCTGGTCGTCGTACATGCTCATTATTCGAGTCTCAATCGGATTCAGTGTATATGGCTCGTGCAGCAAGCCATGACCATCGTGGTCGAGTATGTGTTGTAAGTGCAGCTTTCGATAGGTTTCAAAAAAATGGAACAAGGTGAAAAGAAGTGGTATCAGGCGACGACGCATACGTTCATGCTGAGGGGCGAACTCGAGACGCTGCGATTCAGTTGTTCGCAGGAAGATTTCCTTGGTGATCCATTCGCACATGAGGTATGACAATTTGGCGGCGACGTGCAAACGATGCCACAAGCCGCACAGGTGATGGAAATTGGCGGCGGTAGGGTCGTTAGATGGGTATAGACGCAAGGCGTATGCCGGGATGTGACGTTCCAGATGGTGGCGAACGATGGGTGCCTCATTTAATGTCACAATAGCGTGCCAGGATCTCGAAACTCTGCGAAGATTCAAGACGTCCGTCAATGGCAGCGATGAAATGACTTGAATCTGAAGCTCAGTAGGTAGAGCTAGGAACAATTGACCGAGTGATTGCCTAGTGATTTGTTAGAATTAGTAGCCGCAATCGCCCGTTGGCTCTAGGAGAGGGTAGCTAACGTCTTTGGCTTCGCGAACGTTGTATACTGTTCACGATGGTCTACCTGAGATGTTGACTTGTTTTGGAGGATCGAGACCTTGGATCTCAGGCTGAAGAGTCGACTCTTCTCAGTACGCTTCTGGTCTGAAGGTCGGGGAGTCTCGGTATTGCCTTCGTTTGACTTCGACGTTCGTAATGGTAGGATAAAGGTAGAGGTAGACTGAGATGATACCGGCGGGGAGGGATACGGTTGAGAGGATGGCGTCTGAGGATGGCGTAATTGGTGAAGCTGCTGGGCTTCGCGGGTCGCAGGGGACTCATTGAGCTGATTGAGTTTGCTGAAGTAGCGCTCGGAAGCGAACTCGGTGATATGCGGCGGATCCATGGTAATGCTATCGAGCGGGACGATGGCTCAGCCTGAAGTAAGAGAAAACGAGGTCCAGGAAGTCCAGCATAAGGTCGAGGTGCGCTGTGTTGAGAACGGGAGGGTTAACGACGGGCGGTAATCGGAGAGTCGACGATGCCGTGCATTCGCGGCTCAAACATGGCTGAACATTGAATATATCGATGATAGTTCGGAGGCGGGAAGAATCGTAGGGGGTAATATGAATGAACAGGCTGGCGCCCGGCGTCGATTGGGATAGGATCGTTACGAGCGCAGGCTTCGAGAGTCGACGAGCGAGGGGTGACGAACGAGGACGGCGGCAATGTCCCTAGGGTATCGAGACTGGATGGTCGATGAGATGGACCGAGGAGGGCCAAATCAGAGCAAGAGGCGAGGAAAGATGGTGAATGAGCGTAGATGACAAAGCCGATTCTAATGAGGAGATGAAAGGCGAACGATAGTGTTGTAGAGACACAGAACGTGGTGGTGACGTTTTGGGCGTGATGGTCGAGGTTGGTTGGGATATGGGGATGCGAAGAAGAAATGGAGGGAAGAGGGAGGGGGCACAGACAGAGCGCGAGGGTGCTGGAGAGGCCCGTCGAAGTCGGGTAACTCACTCTCTCTGGTAGGCAATACGTTCGGCACTGGCAGTGGGAGAAAGGCGGTGGTGGTGCAGTCAGGCTTAGGTAGGTTCCATGAAATCTTGGTGGGTAGATGAGAGTGGAACCGCAGAACCTCTCTGTGGGCGACGAGGGTATGGACGTAGGTATGGTACCTAAGGTATGGTCAAGCCTGGATAACTTGGTAGACACTGACAATCACCTCAGTCTATGGGCGCAAACGCGGGTAAGATGATGATGAGGTTACTGTGCAGGTACGGTACGGTACGGATAGAGAAGAGACTATGAGAGCAGTCGGGTGGGACTGGAGGCCAGGAACGGGAGAGAGGTAGATGCAAGAAAGCGAGAGAGGGATCGGCTGTTCGCTAATTCTGGGTGGCCCGGCGGTATGTGCGGCGAATTAGTGGAGGTCCAAGTGAGGAAGGGCACCTGCTGGCCTAGGGGGGAGTCGATGATCCCGAAGCGGCATTTGGCACTGTGGGCAACGGCGCTGACTGGCTGCGTCCTCGGAGAGGGAAGGGCCGGAGGAGCGTCTTTTAGGGGGGTACTTCACCCAACTTACCTATCAATTGTGGGTATTCTACCGTACATCCATTTCTTCAGTGCCACAGTATGATGGACGTGGACGGCAGAAGCGAAAGAGAGAGGCCGAGGAAAGCACCGTGAAAGTGCGTGGACGAAGCTTTTCATCCCCACAGCCCTGAGCCTGGGAAGCCGTAAGTGAAAGTTGCACTGGACGAGATGCTTTTTGTCGAGTGATTGAGTTCCATCGCTTTACGGAGCGAGTAGTAACGAGTACCTACCTTAGTAAGAATACCTGTTGTGAGTGCGACCTGCTTTCTTCCTTTTTTTCTTGCTTCCTTTCTTCCTGCTTCTCGTTCCTTTAGTTATCAATTGGGCCTTGACTCTATCCGTACAATGTCTCTTCATCCATTTTGCCATCAGGTATCCTTATGGAGTACTGATACGAAGGTCGGGTACGGAGTAAGGCACTCCAACCACTTGACTCGAGCGGCAACTGAATTGCGTCTGCCATAATAGCAATCAGGAGTTTCCATCGGCGAGATACCTTGGGTACGTACAAATTCAGATCAGATACCTGATTGTCTATTCGTTGGCATCTTCTCATTTCACAGTTCAACATATGACTTTCATTCCTCGGCTGTCCACGGGCTCTATGGCGCTTCCCCGTCTTCATTTCCCATCCACTGCCATCGTCAAGACTCAAAAGTCAGGCGTCGATCCCCGGGGCCTAGGGCCCGGGGAACTGAGGGCAAACCCGCGTGCCCGCCTGATGCCGCTCCAAAAAAATTTTTTAGCCGTGTGTAATGATTTTGCCATCAACTACACACGACGAAATAGCTTGGTGATTTGGCTGTGGAAATAGGCACTTCTCGGCCATTGTCCCGCATCAAGTGGGCGATGGCCCATGGCAGCGGGCGCAAAGAAGTATCCCCAGACAGTATGCACTGATGCAGTACCGATCACGGTCGTGCAAACGACCTAGAAGAGAAGCCCGGCATAGATTCAGGCGGAGCTCCTACGGCTAGATGCCCTCGCTCTTTTTTCATTGGCTCATCTGTGCTGCAAAGCCCGATTCGATGCTATCGCGGATAGATGCTTCACCTTCCCAAAGGTACTGCTAGTGAGGAAAAGGTCTCAGTCGCCCTAGAACTGCTTGGACCGACTTTGATGATCCAGGGCCGATTGCAAAATAGGCCCGAGACAGTTCCATACTTTTGCTTCAATGGAGACACGTCTATCCATAGGCACTACTCCGTAGACAGTGGCCATCTGGAAACTTTTCTCTATCGGCGGGTCTATCAATCGAATGGCGTGCTAGAAAGCAATGGGAACCAGACGAGGTTCATATTTAGCATGTTGATACGGAGTACTGAAATCCGTTCATCAATCATGTCCCATGTTTCGTTTTGTTCTCGCAGTATGACGATCCACAGCCGGCCGGAATGAGAAGGCCAGCGGGCTGCGGGCATCGCCCGCACTGCCGATCCGGGCTGTTTGATTTTCTCGCCTTCGCCATATACATACGGGTGGCTTGGCTTCGCGGGGCGCCACAAAGAAAGTAGTGAAGCACATCGGGGTATGGAGTGCGGGCCGCCCACAGAAACTTGCCATGCGAATGAACTCGTACAGCTACAAAAGGTGTCCAAAGCACAATGCCCACCTACTAAAGGTATCTTGCATTTGTATGCCGTGAGCGCACCTCCTCCATCACTTGAGGTTTTTGCGCATGCTTCCATTTCTCCTGAGTGTCCTGAAAGCATGCATCCCATGTAGAAAAATTCAACAGTGTTCCGCACAGCATCTACAACTTCCTGCTTTCAGGCGCCTCGTCGCCTTGTTTGCAGTGCACACTTGACCCTGGATGGCACATAGAGATGGGCTTTGACACCTCTTACGAACTTAGTGTATACGTACGAAGCCAACATCTGCCAGTGCCAGCTTGAACGTGGCCCATGGTTCAAATGGAACGCGGTAGATTGGACCGAAGTGACCGAAGTTGAAGCGATAGAACCGATACAAGTGGCTAGGCGCTGTCTCGGATGGACAAGCTGCCTTGGATGCAGCAAAGGGGAGACGGAGACAGTGGGATGTACAAATACTGGGGAAGCAAGGTAAACCGTAAATGCTACGGTGCCACGGTACCACTTTGACTTCCCGCCAAGCTCAGCCCAATCATGAACACTGTAAGACTGTAAGTCACCTAATAATGAATACTGAGTTAGGTACCTCCGTGCCACGGTGCAAACTGCCCTGGCAGTTACGGTTGGGTGGCAGATACTTGTAAGGAAGTACCGTCAGAAAACCCAGATGGCGTGGTGGGGCGCGACTCGGCCCTACTGCGGCCATTCTATTCTCTTAGGCTCTTAGTCGTCGGCCTTCCCCCTCCGCATTCGTCACACGGTCACTGCTGATATCTCCCCCCCCCCCCCCCAAAACCTTTTACGTCGTTTTCCGGATGTTTGGCCGCCGTTGGTGGATTGCTTTACCTTCAAGTATCGTTATCCACTCCGCTCTAGCTCCCTTGTGTATGTGTGGCTAGTGAGTAACGTTTTACCGGCACCATGCCATACGCCGTACTCTTTTGTACCAAAAAGATGGAGGGTTCTGGCACTTTATAGGTAACGTTCTTCCGGTTGATCATCAGGTCCTCAGCGCTACAGAATACTGGAATGGGAAGGCGCCTCACTTGACTTTTGAGACTGCATTATCCGTACGGAGTGTATTGCCCTACAGATACGGGAATGTATCCGTACCACACCACCTACCTACCTTACTTTTGTGAGTCTGGCCAGTTCACTCTCTGTATTCCCGGTCGAACCCCAAGGGAAAGAACTTCCGACCTACACCTCCTTATGTAATCATGCGGCAAATTGAGTGACCCAATTCGCGTGCCCGTGAAAAGAGAACCTGGAAGTTGTAACTAAATATGTCTGGCGGTGGCGCGCCATCATCGTTTGCCTTTGAGACGAAGAGTTGTATCCCGTCATGTTGGCCAACCATGAAGCCATTTTTATTAGCCAGGCCAGCCCCCCCAGTATTCGTACACTAGCTGGCAATGGCATCGACATCGGCCGAGAATGCCCCGTGGATATGTGGATTCTCCCCGCCCATGGTCACAGGTTGCAATTAAGACCACACTCCACACGACGGATCACCCCCCACGACGGATTACCTAAAATAAACGATTTTCTAGACTTTAATTTTTCGACGTTATAACTATAAATTTCCCCCCGACGGAGCAATCCGCCGGGGCAATACCGTGTATAACGTATTAGGGAAAACTGGGTATATTGCGCTCTATACTTAACTACTAACTAAAACTCCTAACCTTTTGCCGCTTCTAGCTATCTAGAGGGCAAGCTTTACCTACTCTAACGTATATAAGACCTCTTAGTACTAACCTGCGTAAGTAGCTAGGTCCTATATAATATACTCTTTTTTATTAAAAATTAAGGGACCCCTTATATAATCCCTTAAATTTATAATAAGACCCGTATTTAAAGGGTTATTAGCTTTATAAAATATAATTTTTAAATTAATATTAATATACTAAATCTTAATCTCTATATTAACCTAGTTATTTATAACGTTCGTATTATTATTTAATTAAATTTTATATTATTAAAAAGTATTACGCTACTTTTTTAATATATTTATATTAATTATAATAATTAGGGTATTAAGGGGGCCTAAGAATTTATTGAGCCCTAGAGGGGGAGACCTATCGAGGGGCATTATTAAAGAGCCCTAGCCCGCTAATTATTAACTATATATTAAATACGGAGTAGTGTTACGACCTAACATGCATGACTAAGACTAGGGCCTGCCCCGCAGGCTTACGGCGGCTATAGTATA